GTTCTTTCTCGACAAATATTCCAAACTTGCCGGTGTACATTTTTTTGAGGATTGCGAACAGCCAGAAGTCGCTGGAGGCCAAATCTGGCGAATACGGTGGATGTAGGGGCAAACTTGTGTGAGCTATTTGTTCATCGACTTTATTTTCAATAACGAAAAATGATTTGGCAAATTCCCAAATTCACAATGGTATTTGATTTTCAATTGGTGGAAAAAAAAATCTCTTTTTTTCAATGAAAAAATATTTTCTCACAGAAAGAGCAGAGAATTCCCAAACTCGGTTTCAATGCCAGAATGAAATTCCTATATAACCAACTGAAATGGACAAAGAAATTGATACTAACCTTCATATCGATATCCACATCCGCTAAAACCACTAAAAATATGTTTACTGATTGTCTAATTTGTCATTTTGCCGCAATAAAATTCAGACGGTCATTTGTCACGATCAATGAAGCAGAAAAGCAAATAAAAAGTAGCAGTTAAGTCGATTGAGATAATTGAATATTCAATTTGGCCAATTGAAGAGTACAACAGCCGTTAGACAAATCGTCATGAACTACCTATTTGTTCTTGATGCATAATAGGTACCTTGATCAATCAAATGGGAGTTTTATTATTTTTTTTACTTGTATGTTTCACCACTATCCAGACTGCTCTTCAACATGAGGTTGTTTTAAAAGTTTTGTCCGTTTTAATATCATGTATTTTTGCAGCTCCATATCAGAATTACTATTTATTCTACTGTGTCGTGGTATACAGGGTGTTTATTAAACATGTGGCAAAAAATTTAGGGACTATTGCTTGGACTATTCTAAGGATATTTTGTCCTTTTTTTCGAAGATACGGAGCGGAAAAGAATTGTTTTATGTTGAGTCCAAACAACTGATGATCATCTTACTGCTAGTAATAGCAGAATCCTGTAGAGCAATTCAATTATGTCGAAAACAGTCATGGCAAAGAAGTTTTTGCTCACCACTAAATAACTTTTATATTGCTCTTACCTGAACTCATTTTAAACAAATAAAAATCAATGAAACTGATAACTAGAAACAATGAAAGATATTTTGAAGCTCAAGTATCACATACTTGAAACCAAGAAGGTTAGCCATCAACCCATCATCTTTCTCATTGGAGGAATTTACTCTTACCATATTTTTCGACAATCCATCAATTTGCATAATGAATAACATACGTGAATGAGAGCTACACTACGCAACCTTCATTGCATTGTTCGAAATGAGGTTAAAAAGAATGAGGCACAACCCCATACAGAGTTTCTTGATCTACAAGATCTCAGTGCAAGTACGAGGGTTGAATATATATATGTGTGGATGAAATTTGTATCGTAATTAAACTTGACGATAACTTCTATGAAGTCTTCTCATTCACCTGAGTGTGGGAAAGTACTCGTTCCGATTAAATAGTGTTTTCCAGTTCGTATCTGAAAAAACGTTTGAGCATGAATCAGGACATGATCCACACGTCTTTCGAATCAAATTAAATCAAATAACTTCATTTCTTTGAGACAACATACAGTCGTATAAGAAAGAGTCATAGTTACAACCGCATGGTTGAAATGTTCAAAAGGAAAATAGCAGTACATTAAGGATTATATATCTGAGACAGCTCAAGGACATACCAAAAATTGCATATCAGAACTCCTCCAAGTATTGAAAAAAACACTGGCACAAGTGTATTATATCTGAGCGGGATTTACTTTAAAAGGGATAAAATAGAAATTATTGAATTAATAAATATTTTTCCAGAAGAATGAAAATTCCCCATAGTTTTTGAAGAGACGCGTATTCCTCTGGAAAAAAAATTAGCGGGTATGCAAACAATTCGTTTCGAAATATTTTTATATCCATTATCACATAAGATAATATTGACTCAAAACAAATTCCTATCGACCAAAGGAAAATCCAAGACAATTAATATCCCACGATAAATTACCGATGACTGTACAGTACAGTTGAGAACTGACAGCAACACACACATCAAGTTTTATTTGACTGACAATGCCCTGAACCTTACGATTTGCAAAATGTGAAGTTCAAGAGTATCTCCAGTGATTCGAGGCTTGATTGTATGTTATTTTTTGTGGAAGAGTACAATCACTTCTGAACTACTGATTGGCAGAGTTGGCCTAATTGAAATCAAATGATTCAAATCATGATTTGAATCGCGATTGGAATCAACTGATTTTGTTATGTTTATCTTCGAATCTAACAAAAAAAACTACAAAATTCTGGCATTTAACTTACATAATATAATTTGTGAATCTATATAAAAAAATAAATAAAAACAGAACTGTCAGTTTGCTAAGAAATGTCTTGATTTGTATAATCTGGCAGTTGAATATATCAAGGACATGACCAACAGAATCAGAGGTATAGCACATTGTATAAATTGGCGATTTTTTTCATTATATTTGTACGCGGAGTGTTGAGATAAAATGTGACACTATTCCTAGATGACCGTCTAGGAACTCAAAAATTCAACATATGTAACAGTTGAGAGCAGGTGATGATATTGTTCATTAACTTAATTAAAAAAAGAAATGAATAATATTTATAAAACAAACGCATTTCAGTATACCTTTAGTAAGTAATTTTATTTTTAAAATACAGTGTTTTCTTGCTCCATTTTTTTTTGTTTATTCTGACCAACAGTTAATATTCAATGAATTTAAATGAAAATAATCATATGTGACATATATTTCTTCTATTGGCTGCATTTTCTTGCAAGTTTCATGGTTGTTAATGATCTGCTAGTTGTTCCTTGATTTTTTTTTCATTTTTTGCAAATTGCTCTGTAAACACTTTTTCCTTTTACAGTTTTCCTAGAATCTTCCTATATTGTATACTTCTCTCTCCCCGACAATAACATTATTTATATCTCTTCATTCCAAAACACTTTCCACCATTAATTTGAAAGTGTCCAATGTCCATATAGTCTTTTTCAACTGGAATTACTTTTTACGCCTGACACTTTATTTTAATTTTCCCCAAATCAACTCGATGGGATTGAAAACACAAAAATAGGGGGAATTCTCAGTATGGTGTGTCCATACTTTTCAGCAAACCTCGATTTGGGTGTTGAAATTCGATATTGGTGCAGTTATAATTACTTAAAATTTTTGTTGTTTCTGTTTAAAATGTGGCGTCCTTGGACAAGTGATAATAGTAATAACGAGTGTGATAACAACGCAGACGTTTTCCAGCGTAGTGATTCAAATAGCAACGGTGAACAATGCGAAAAAGAGGTTACAGTGAATAAGATACGGATGCATTTTAATATTGAAACACAGAGAGTATGTTTCAATGTACAGAGTGGTCCAAAGAAAAGTGTGCACCTTGCTTTTCTCCTTTTTTTGTAACTTAACGCAAAAATGCTCGGACAGGTCAATTTTGCTTTTGAGGAGGACACATTTTGGGTGTATTTTTCTACCTGTGCCTTCAACCCCCTAGCGAGGGTGAGTAACAACCCTAAAATTTTAATTGGAAAGTGGGGTCGAGTGATATATCATTTGAACGGGCACAAAATTATCTTTCCAATGATACCTAATTTGTTGTATTTCACTCAAACATGTAGGTATTAGAAAGAAAAACAACTACAACCCAGTACTTCCAAATGTGTAATTGACTTAGTAGAATCCTACTTCAGCAAGTGCTGAAAATGTGACCCATTTGCTTCCATATAATAATACAGATTTTGTTCAAATCTATTCCTAACATTCTGTAGCATATCAGGTGTTATACTTCTGCACTCTGCTGTAATTCGTTGGCGAAGATCTTCTATGGACTCGTGCTGCGTAGCAAAACATTTATTTTTCAAGTGTCCCCAAAGGAAGAAGTCTAAAGGCGATAAATTAGGTTACCTGGCAGGCCATTCGATGGGGCCTCTCCTTCCAATCCACCATCCAGGAAACCGGTCATCTAAAAACTCTCTTACCGGAGCAACATAGTGAGGAGGTGCTCCATCTTGCTGGAAATGAAGCCGATCATCATTATGATTTTGGTCATTCTCAATTATTTCTGTTATGAGAAGATCAATTGTATCTTCAAGCCTGTTCAGGTAGACCTCACCAGTTAAATTCCCAGGAATAAAAAGTGGCCCTACGATATGACTACTTAATATGCCACACCAGACATTGATTTTTTGAGGGTACTGGGTATGGACCTCTCGGAATAAGTGTGGGTTACTGTCATCCCAGTAACGGCAATTATGCCTATTCACAGCTCCATTCAAAAAAAAATGTACTCTCATCGGAAAAGCACGTGTTGAATGATAGGTGCGGATCATCAATTAGTAGCTGGCTCAGNTAGTGAAGTGTTCTTATATAATCAGAAATGATTATTGAATAACGAAATTAGTTGGCTCCCTGACTATATTATTTAACGAGAGCTGTTAGAAGGTAGGAAGCACTATATCGTTTACTTGAACGATACCTACTGTGATCATGAATTTAAACCGAGGTCGGTTTCAATGTACTAAGATGAACAGATTCGAAGCAGAATTATTGTCAAATTTTACATTGTAGACATCCTAAAATAACATCGGTGGGGTTTATATTTGGTAGTACTGTGTTATGACATACTTAGAAACCTGACCACCGCAATTTTAAATACGTGCATTCCTTGTCAGTATTGATATGAGGACTTTGTCAAAGAAGTCAGTTTATCAATAGTAAGTATGTAAATCGTGTGATGAAGTGATAAAAATCGGTACCTTCACCTGATTCAATAATATGTCGTTAGGTTATGTTAAGAATGATGTAATGTCGAACAATTTTCAACATGTTTTCAGCCGTAAACGTTCATTCAATACAATAACCAGTACTGATAAAAAGGTTCACGAGAGTCATAAAAATATTTCAACTGTTGTTAACAAAAATGTTGTCTTGTGCAATACGACTACGAAAATATCTAATAATAACATGAACATGATCCACACAAACCTGGCTGCTGAAACAAAAGAACAAACAATTGATTTACCACAGAGAAATCCTGAAATGAATCCAAAATTTTGAAAAACCAGTCACATACACTCAATAAAGAAAAATAATCACAAATAACTACAATGTTACACAAGAATTCACATTGTACGGAGCGAAATTTTCCACGACCAACTAACTGGCCACACAGCGGAGCATGGCCTGCTTAGCGATGTCTGAGTACACTTCCTCCGCCAACATCAACAAACGAACGTTTCAAAACAACTGACTGCCAAGAGGCGATGGCGGATGGCGGATAGCGAGCGACCGACAAGCGAGAAACCGATGTACAAGAGAACGACCGATGTTGTCAGATTTTCAACCTGATCAGCGTGTTAAGGATTTACTTTCCTTTTCGCAGTTTCACGATCGGACTGGGTTGTTTCCTGAGTACGTTGAAATATAACAGGAGACGATTCTGTGATGTGACAGTTGGGCTGAAAAATTCGAAGGCTAACTCAGAAAAAAAATGTTTTTATAAAATTTTATTTTAATATTCAATACAGGGTGTAACTGAATGAGTGTAGAACATTGAAGGAGGTGATTCCTCAACGAAAAAAAGATAGGATCTTTCATATAAAGAAACTTCATTGGAGCATCCCTTGTTAAGATACAGCCCCTCAAAGGGGGTACATAAAATTTGTATTACAATTTTTTTCACAAGCACTGGAGGAGTGAAATGGATCCGAAAAATGATGCATCCCAAATCGTCCGTTCCACGGTTCTACTTCCCCCTACAACAGGAAGGCCGTGGACTTTTGAGTTTGGAGTGTCTACATGAGAGAATGTTACTGGATATAACCTGTAAAGTCGTCAGGAGTTGGGATCCCCTTCTCTGCATGGTCCGTGACCATGAAAGAGCAGGAATTGGAGCATTTCTCTGCCCGGCCTGTTTAGTTTTCGATACTGACCACAAATCTGTCACCGAGTTGGAACCAGTTCAGCAATAAGCTTATATAAAAGCCGCAGAGATCAGCTCACTTCTGCGGAAACACAAGGATAAGCCAATGCATGACCACTTACAGTACAGTATATAATATAATAATGAAGTATAAATAAAAGCTACTGAAAATGAGGAAAAGAGAAATGAAAATTTCTATGTTCTCACACTACATATATAACAAAAGACTGACATATTAAGGATTTGACAAATTAATAAATGAATTCATGATCGAATTGAGAAAAAAAAATACCTAATAATCAGTTATTTTTATATAAATATCATGAAATGAAGACAGTAAGCCAAATGATGGTTTGTTCAATTTTGGATAATGGATAATGATCTTCAGTGGATCGAAATTGATATCCCATTGGCTTCAGTGGGTATTATAATTTTCACCCATCAATTGTATAGAAGAGACTTTTCCAAGGTTGGATCTAGTAAAAGGGGTATAGAAATTGATTTGTAGTAGCTTGAGGTACGTTGAAGTTAATTTGTTCTAGTAACGCGGGTGCATCAACGGAACAATCCAACATTTTGTATAACATAACAATACTTGATGAAACTCTTCGTTGCTCCGAATCTTTGAAGTAGTGTGGAGTGGTCAGTTCCTCTAGCAGGGTACACGCCATCAGTTCTAAATGCAAGAAATTTCAGAAAACGCACATTTTCCAAGGTTTCCTCATGTACATTATAGAGAAGATACCAAATCAAAGTAGTATACTCTAACTTGAAGCGAACAAGAGATGTATAAAGTATGATTAAGGCGGTAATGTTGGTGAATGATTTACAGTTGCGCAGAACAAAGCCAAGCATTTTTGTAGCTGATGCCGCGACATTATTGGTGTGGCCAACAAATGTCAACCCCTAGATCTTTGACAGCTTCCTCGCGAATGACTATTTCATCCTCGAAAGTATAAAAATTCCCAATAATATTGGCACTACGTGTAAAGAAGCAAACTTTGCAATTTTTAACATTCATTGCCAATTCATTGATTTGACACCAGTTATCTATCAGGTCTAATTGAGACTGGAGATAAGAGTAGCTCTCTAAACTTGTGATAGATGAAAAGATCTTCAAGTCGTCTGCAAAAACTTAGTTGCCGCACGAAAGCTCGGAGTTGAGATCATTTATGAAGATGAGGAAAAGAAGGGGTCTCAAATTGGAGTCTTGTGGCACACCGCATAGTGATAAATATAGTACAGATGCAAATCCGTTATAAAAAACAATATTGGTTCTCTGATCCAAATAAGAGCGTAGAAGTTGAGTTAGTGAGAGATTTGAACCGATTTGAGCTATTTTCTCTAGTGAGATGGAGTGACTAATTCTGTAGATACTTTGATTTATAGCCAGTTTTCAGGTATGCACTCTTACTTCATGTATACATTTACATACAGGTAACTTAGAAACTGTGGACAATATCTGTTCTTTCACTATTGAGAGCTGAATGGTACACAAATATGTAGGATGGGGAAGGACAATACGAGCGACTGCTTTTACTTCTGATGAGAGTAGTATAAGATGAAATAGAAGGCCGAGGTAGTACTGATGACATCTTCTGGATATGGTTCAATCCATGGTAACATATTCATCTTTCGTTTGGAGTCCAAAGATAAGACAATCACAAAATTAAACAAATGTTAATCTTTGCAGAAACTAATGAATTTACTTCTTCTATATGTTTTGTTTGGAACACATGCAAAGGCAAACTTTCTGGCTACTACTCACAAATTGTGAAGAATAGATGATAAAGAGCCATCTGGAGAACATGTCCAATAAGACAGACCGGTCAGAAACTACATAGGACAGTAACTGTAATATACTTGTCAGGTAGAATTTTACAGCTACCACCTCCGGTTACTACATCTGAGTCTTCTAAGCTATTCTGCAATATGCAAGGGATATGAATTTATGTCTTCAAGCAATTGAGCAAATTGACTTTTCCTCAATAAACGAAGCCGTTTTTGTGATCTCAAGAGTGGCATCGATACTGACCTGGAAGAGATGTGACGAACAGAAAGAACGGGCACAGAGTCGCTCTATAATAGATGCAAGATCACATACAAATCACGAAAAGCAAAAAGCAGATGGCTTGGCTTCCAAGCAGCAAGAAAGGGAAGTACCAAATTGATGTGATAATCCAGTTTGTATTGTTCTGAGTTTAGTATCACATAGTTTTCTGTTAAATTTTACACGACGGAATATATTTCTTCATGTAAAGCGCCAGGTTGTTTCAGGCTTCTTTGCTCGTTGAGGTTATTATATAACCTTATCAAGGATGAAGTCATGATTATAGAAAGGCCACTGATGTTCATGTGTATATACTATAATATAGTATATAGTAAAGTCTATAAATCCAATCAGTGAGTATTCTTGTATTGTAATTCAGATAATATAATGAAAATTACATTATTGAAGTGAGAATATTATGCAAATTTCAACGAAGTATCAGTGAAAGGTATATGGTATTATTACTATTTTCATTAATTGTTTGATAGTGGAGGTGATTGCAAGTAAAACATAGGTACAAAGAGGGAATATTATTTTCTGTGATTTGAAACCAGAATAATCAAAGCCAACTCTTGTAATTTTGAGCCCTCAAAGTAGAGACTTAGTGCCAGACTTAGTGCCAGACAGATTTAGTGCCACGACTAGAAAAAAAATTCACTCCTATTAGCATGTAAATGGGAAATCAGAAAAAAAGACTTGTCGAGGTTATTTTATAAATTGCAACTTTAGCTAGAAATCACGACTTCAATTTCGAAATTTTGACTTCAATTCTGAGTTTAAAGTGAACATTCCGAGAATACAGTGAAAATTTCGAATTCAATTCCGGGATTTCGAGTTGTATGGATCCACTTGTTGAAAAATACATATCAAAATATACTGATACTGAAGCATACTGATACTAGTGGCCGAAGTGGAATATGGAATGACATTGAAAGAGTTATTTTTTCATCAAAGCTGGTGAATAGAGGCATTTTAGGGTTGATTCGTTCTGACAGGATGCATAATTGTTAAAAGGACTTGAAATCATTCAGACATGTGTTTTTCAGCACTTCGCTTTACGAAAATATGTTGAACTCAATATAAAAATACTTATTGTCGTTCAAAAACATGTATTTTTGAATATCCAGGTCTTTTTATTTTCCCTAGCCTTTATACCATGCCTTTCCTGATAGAAAACCCTTTTGGACCAAAGTTATCGTTTCCTCAGGGTAAAATTGGCCCAAAATGAAAAAAAAAAGATTTTAAGTCAAAGAGTCTGCAGCAGATGAAATATAACATGTTATAGATGTATAAAAATATTGACAGTACTTACATTCAGTAAAAGTGATCTGTTTAAACAGAAAATCGTATGGAATTGTTGAGAGTTGGGCCAAAGTAGCCTAAGTTCACGTACCCTTGATCTTACCAAATTGCCCAGCAAGCTATAAATATCGTACATTCCATTTTCATTTCGTCCGGATCTGTTTAGGAACATAAAAGCCCCTCATTCAATGAAAAGCCTCTTTTTTCTTTACAATTCGCAGTCTGCAGACCCATACATCATCCTGGAGCTAGTGCATGGGTTGGGTGAAGGGAAAGTATAGTTCAATGACACGTTTGTTTATGAAATATTGGATTTACTCTCACTCTAGGATTTATATCAGAACATACGTGTTTGTATTCTGCATTCACGAATTTTCAAGAATGTCACGTTGACAACAGCGCACAATTCGCAGAACATGCTAGTGTGGTGAGCAAGAAACAATCGACTTACGTTCTTACGTAGATGCTTCAATTTTCTTTTGTTTTAGTCGGTTAGCTGACTTTCGATATCGCACATTCCAGTCGAAAAGTGATGAGAAAATAAAAATAAAACAACTTCTACGAAACAGTTGAAGAGCTTGGTAGTCTCGAATCAGGTGATTTTTCTGTGTAAAAATTTACTGCGACGACAAATTGTATTATTTGACAGTATAATATGAACAAAAACGGTCCCATTATTTTGTTCGATATGCTACTTTTTACTTTCCTCTCGACTAAATTGAATCGAATGATATTTTGCTCTGTGGAATAAATTCTGAATTATCCCAGGAGATAATTTAGTGAAAGTGATATAATGGTTTGTTTATTAGTTGCTGAATTGATTAATAATAATGATATGTAATAATGTTTGGTTGAAGGTGGTTGACAATGTTTCGTGGCGATTTCATAAGTTCGCACTTCCAATGTCTAATATAATATAAATTGATTTGAAATTTGATGAAAATTAAAAAGGTTAACGGAAAATAACAATTTTATTAAACAA